ATCAGCAACTACATTACTGCAAATTTGCTTGTTCGTAATGGTAGCAAATTTGCAGATAATATGGTACATTGATCTGATCTGCAAAATCAGCAACTTTGCAGATTACTGTAGCATCTGATCTACCATGTTTTCACATAGCAATCATATATTCATACATATAAGGTCAAGCAAATATGCAGATTAAGGTAGGTATAAGGATATCATGATTCTATATAATATATAAAGTAGTAGAAGATTGAAATTTGCAGAGGAGACCAATATACAGTCAAGTTTGATCAAGGAATTCCTTAGTCCTTACTATTGATACTCTCAGATTGTGATAAATGAAATTAGAGCTCAAGGTGAACAAATGAATCAGAAAGCCTTTGAGAAGGTGTCAGTATTCAGTCTTATTGGTGGCTTACAACTTTAAATGGTATTGCTGTACAGTTTTTTGTGCTTGTTACAATGATGGTTTTCTGAATTGTTAATATATGTGCTTTCCTGTTGCAGGCCTGTTTAGAAACAACATGATAACCAAACTAAACAAACTCGGTATATCCCACTTGAAAGCAAATGTCAGCAACTGAAGTATCTTTTTTTGTCTATGTCGTGAATATTGGTGGTAGAATTTTAGATCGTTTCCCCTTTACTTGTACTTTTGTGTCAGGAAAGTGGCCACCACCACTCACATGGTCTTCAACGTTACCTTCACGTGTTACACTCACGGGATAACTGGCTAAGTGGACGCCATCCATGTCTATGACCTCGTCTCCTGAATAAATCTGCCACATCTGCTCCCCGAGTAGACGCATCATTTCTACACATTCCAAACTCCCAGGATCTTGAAAAAGTTTTTCAGCTTGGCCAGTATGTTCATACCACAATGACATACGATAAGCGTGGATGTCTCTTCTATGTGTTTGTCTACTTTCATCTCTTGACTGGTAGCATCCTATTGCGATTTCTGTGTCGCGTTGCCCATCCATGGATCGCTGGTTTATGTTTGCAGATCCTATCAACATGTAACTATCGTCGACTGAAAGAAATATATCAAGAGAAGATTTATTAGCTTTCTGGGCACCCAGCCTTCCTTGAGATTTCTAAACCAAAGCAAACGATCCCGGTATATCCCACCTGGAGGTGGGGGAGTGGGCAGGGATATACGCAGACCTAACCTCTACACAAGAGTAGAGCAATTGTTTCTGTGAAGACCTTCGGCTAGTGAAAAGGGTGTAAAAAGTAGAAATACACTTATTCTAAAGATTGAAAAGCTAGATACAATTAAACAACAACAATACAACTAGAAAGAGAGAGACAGATTTGCTAAATTTGAGATACTAGATATAGTAAACAACAATATATGCAGCCGCAAATACAGGAAAAACATAACCAAGTTGTGGAAACTACACGCCCCTAGTCTAACTTATGTTGTGGTAACCTAACTATCGACTCACTAACTTATCCCCTGTCCTCTACCTCCAGCTCCCTTCCTCCCGACTAGATAACCACCCCTAGACCCTAGTCTGCTATCTAGTCTTCCTTGAGATTTCTGTATTCATTTTCTTAGATTTAAAATCACCCTAGTTTCGGAGCTGATTAACTGGTTTTACCCCTCCATTCTCCCAATGTAAAAGTAGATGTTTTATGGCTGAAATTGGAGTGATCTCTCAATTAGTGTAGAAATGAATGAGAACTTAAAGTAACTCAAGATTCCTATTTTGGTTGTGATCTACTTTCTTTTTTGCAACCATGGGTGTCTGGGCTACTTGTCTGCACCTCGACTAATCCCATGGGGCTCTACTAAGAAAATCCCCCAGTGACCCTAAGCAGACTCGAACTAGTGACCTATGAGCAGCCCCAAGGTCTAGCCTTTATTTGCCGGTTGAGCTAGCCCTCAAGGTTGCCTATGATCTACGTGTTTCCCATTGTCGTGGAATTATCTAAACAAGGTTATGAAAATAAAAAGTCATGAATGTTAAGGAGTTAAAAAGGTTAGGAATGAGTACCGATCATGAGTTTCGAATGTACGTAAACCATGAATCTCCTATGTTTTTGAGCATTCCAGTATTGTGTTGCAGAATGAGGTGAGTAAGGAGGAACATACTCTCCTTCCTTTTCCTTTTCCCTGTTGGCAAGGCAGAAGAAATTCAAATAATCTTTCGGATGGAACTTTTCACCGCTCTCTCGAATTGCTTCTCCTATCAAACCATACATCATTTTCATTGTTTCCCGTGTCCAATGCAGTATATCCTGTACTGGTTCGCTCTCTGGTACTCCTTCCGGCCACATAGGTATCAAAATATATACTGCAAATCTTTCTTTTGATTTGATCTTCTTTGCTACCTTAAGTGCAATCTCAATTGGGATCAAATTTCTGCAGCCAGAATGTTGATCTTTTTCCCATAAATGGCATCCTCCAATGAAGTATTGGTTCTCTATATATATAAATCTCTCAGCCCGCCGAATTGCTTCTACATATGCTTCGTGGATGCTTTGCTCAACGGTGAAGTTACTCTGCAGGTGGCTAATCGACAAATGGTCAATTGATCTGAAGACTTGAACTTTCCAATTTCTTTCCGTTTGAGTGGTTGTAGTACTAGTAATTGGCTCATTTGCAAGATCTACTATTGTGTTAACCGGGATTAGCAAAGTGGGATCAGCTTGTTTTAGCCAACGCTGCTCAAAATTGCGCATGATATCCCATGCAGCCTCTCCCATTATACACGCGTGTGCATCGTGCCATGGCTCTCTTGGTCCCCCTCTGTGTAGGCTTGATCCAGATATACTTGTTTGATAGAAATCTTGTGCTTGTGATTCGGTATTTAGTGTCCTAAAGAGTGAGTGCTCTTCTGTATCATATCGACCATCACATAGATCTATGCCTCCAAGAAAACTCTTTATTTCTCTTTTACTTGAAGATGAGTGTCCACGGGTGTCCACCGTGATGGTTTTCTGATGGTGGGTGAAGAGTGTTGGGAAGTTGTGGTTTAATCTTGGGCATAATTTGCATACCACCTTTGTGTTTTTGAAGTAGGCAAAGGCGTCTTCATCGTGGGTTCCCATTACTCCTTTGTTCTTGATGATTGGTAATGAAGTTTCATCATCCCAGATCATGATTCTTACTGGTACACCTTCCTCTGCTTTCCTTTTCAATAGTTCACCAAGCTTTACTCCTTTTGCATGTGGAATTTCTGTTTCTGAATCTCTGACCTGCATGGTTATCATTTTTCAGACTATTCACTAAATTTTCTTTGAAAACATATGGAACGACATTGGATCACTCTCCAAAAGAGCTATAAGGATGCGTTTGTTACATTGAATAGGACAGAACAAAACATGGATCATTGTTCCATGTTTGACAGGACTTTTATGTGGAATAGACAAGAACTAAGTGGATCAAAGTGGAACAGGCGTGTTCCACCCCCACCCCATGGAATAAAGCGGAACAAGGTAAAACATACCTATATTTTACTAATATAACCACAAAATAAAACCTAATTTTCTTCTAAATCATCAAATACGCCTTTCTCTTTATATTTTATTCATTCTTTAAATTTTGTTTATCGTATTCTATGTTTTTTAATCTTTCACTTCACTGACCTCAAAATATTATTTTTTATTGTTTCTAAATTTTGATTAATTTATTAATTATTAATAATAACAAAATAATATGGGAAAGGTATAAAATAGAAATTGGAAACTACAGAAACTTTTTATTTTGGTATCATATTAATCTGTCTTTGACGAAAATTTTCTAATAATATATTTTGTTATAAAAAAATATTTATTTTATTATAATTTAATAAATTACATAATTAATCAAAATATATAAAAATATATAACAACTCATTAGGGGTAAATTGGTCATTTTATTTGTTCTGTCATCCAGTTCTTTTCTATCGTGGATACTAAAAAACATCTTTGAAGAGAGAACGGAGGTTCTAACATATATATGTAGAGGAGAAATGGTTCAAGTCTAGTTGATGTGGGACTCTAGCACGCCCCCTTCACCGTAGGCTAGATGCTCCGGGAGTGTCGAGAGGGGGGCTAGACAGGTATAGATCGTCCCGGGGTGTCAAGATGCTAAAATGGTAGACCTTGCCTCTAATATCATGTGAGAATATTTGGTAGATTACTATCTAAATAGAGCCCTTAAGGATAGAAGGGTGGTTCCAAATTATATAAACGAGAAACGGGCAATGCTTTTCTATTTTCGACACTATTTTCTTTTTACTTACCAGAATCAAATTAGGATTGAAGGACCATCCCGCAATATAAATCAAATGCTTGGCACCCTCAATGGCCACAAAAACGTCCTCCCAAAGTTTTCTCGGTGAGCCACAAATATCAAACGGTGGTTGGAACGTAGGATGATGATGAGAGTCTTGATACAATATAACACCACAGTTGGTCCTTTGCGGAAATGTAGCATCTCTTAACCCATTGAACTCATCGTTATCAATCATCTTTTGCCAGCTTGATTCAAGTTCTGCCGGTTTGAACCATAACATGAATCTAATTTTCAGTTCTGGATGTGGCTTCCCGTTTTCCATGCACACTGGAAACCAACCATTGATCAAGCTTGCCTCTTCTAACAACCGACGGGCCTGAATGTTGATTTTCCCGAGAATGGAGCATTTTGTCTTCAGGGTGATCGTTATTGTTGCATTTATCGGATGAGCACAAAGAACACGTAAGGTTTGGTTCCAAACTCTGTTACTTTCGTGGCTGGTCGATGCTATCGTTTTTTGATCTATCTTGATGGTAACATATGCAGGTTTTCCAGTTGGATTTATGCACTGCAAAAGGAACACACCAATCAGTAAGTATTTCATTCCCCTTGTTACTTTCATCTACATTGCATTAGAATCATGTGCTTTGCTTTGCTTTGCTTTGCTTTCCTTCATGTTATGCTTGCATTCATGATGTGTGTGATTATAAGATCTATATACCTCTAAAAGACTCCAAGGTTTAAGAGAAAAACATCAAACATAGAAAGGGAAAAAAGATGAGTTTTGTGTGTTTCCTCCGAGAATATGTAGAACCCTATTAGATTAATCTCCAAAAGAGCCCGTTGAGGCTAGAATCTCAAAATGCATATTTGCTTTCCATCATATACAAGAGGAGAAAGAGTTCAAGTTTAGCTGATATGGAACTATTAACACGCTCCCTCCAATTGAGGCTAGACTAGACGGGCACATATTGTCTCGAAGTCGAGAGGGGGCTAGACAATATAATGGAGAAAAAGTCCAAGTTTGACTTATGTGGGACTCTAAGACACACCCTCCAACCGAGGCTAGAGGGCACAAATTGTGCCAAAGGGTCGAATCCCTAAAAGGATAGATACCGACTATGATACCATGTGAAAATATGTGGAACCCCATCATATAACTCTACAAAAGAACCCTAGAGAAGAGAAGGGATGTCCATATATATATAGAGGGGGGCCTTCTTTTAAGATCTCTGAGAACCGGTGCATCATGTGCTATTTCCATATGACCTTTTTTCCATCTATGGCTAGACTTTAATGTAGTGATTAACATATATTTGTTTCACATATACTAGGTTCACAATATGGAACTTATTGGCGTGTTTGTGAAACAAAAAATACACGTAAAGGAGTTTCACATTGTGAACCGATACATATGAAACAAACACATTGTGAAGCAAATGTACACTAACTAATACATTAGATACTATACTTAGATGGAAAAAAATCATGTGAAAACAAAATTTTAAAGTAGTAGTTCTCATGGATCTGATAAATTTTGAAGTTCTCATATGATTAAGCTTGTAATATTTGGTACCCCAAACAATCCCATTTGCAGGTTCTCATGAATCTTGTTTCTTGAAAAACAACCATGATAAAACCATAATCATTCAATTAGTATGCGATAGAACTAGACGTACATTAAGTAGAAATGGCGGTGAATAAGGCGTGGCGTCGAAGATGGTAGCTTCAAGTGTCCCGTGAAGGATCTTCGGTTTTCCCTCCATCGTCTTAATCTTCGTGATCAATTGTTTTCTATCATATATACAATCAAACCCATCTTTATAGAAAAAATGGCAAGTAAATTAAAGGGTTATTGCCAAAGAAACTTGGAAAGAAAATATGCATTTTGAGTAGAGCTGCAGCTTTAGAAAACTTGTAGAAGTCTACAGTTTAAATCTTAGAGGCTACCTTAAAGCTGTTAGCTTTTCCTTCAAGTACAGGTTCTATGATAGATAAAAACCACATAATATTATAAGATAAAGAAAACTGTTATAACTGATTTTATATATATACTTTGAGAGGCCTTTTACCAAATACTTACCATGTAAGGGTTGACCGGCTCACTTACCTTGTCGGTAACATTCTACGCCATTAGTGAGACCCAAAACTTATTCGGTCAGCTATATATGATTATTTGGTAGTGGTTTAATGGAAAATAGTTTATTCAATAAATTTCTAGAGGGGAGCTTTACACTGAAAGCCAAGTTTTTTCTTTTAAACTTGCCCCTCCCAGTTAAAAAACGCACCGGTCAAACAAAAACCTCTCTAACCTATATAAACATATTAATCCATACAGATGCCTTTATCCATGACTTCATGGAAAACCAACAAAACAACCCCTTACCCGTTTAGGCTAATCGGGTAAGAGTCTTCTCTCTCACTTACTGGGTAAGAACTTTGGTTGTTATCATGTCTCTTACCGGGTAAGATTCTCTAAATCCTTTAACATGCTCGCCTAGTAAGTTACAATTTAGATTGAGTTCTATATCCAGCATAAGGATCATGATGGTAACCTTTTGATTTTACTTATTTACGAAATGGTTCGATACATTTGAGCCTATTAAAAGGTTTGATTAATAATGGTTAGTTAGTCGTTGCTGGTAATGAAACCAACCATAAATGTATTGATAGGTGTTAATTTTAACATCATATCATAGAGGTCAAACCAATAACTTGTAGCCGTCTCCATCAGATATATATGATTATAAGAACATACATGCCATCTGTCACAATCTAATAACTTGGACCTTTGCCCATTTCTTGCCCCATAAGGTTTTAAACATTGACTCTTTGCATTTTCTGTAATTCTTTTTAAATATATATATATATATATATATATATATATATATATATATATATATATATATATATGATTGGGTTCACGTGAGATCAAGGGTTTTTCGTGAGACCCGTAAGATCAATTTATATTCATTGATCAATTTTATAAACTAATAATCTAATGGTCCAAAGTTGGACGGTGGTAATTTTGTGATTATTGAGATGTCTTGTGGCGTTTATAAATGTTCAGATTGTCAGATTGTAGATCTAATCCAAAGGTTAAGAATTGGTCTTACGGGTCTCATAAAAAATCATTAATGTCACATGATTCCAAGTCTCTCTTTCTCTCTCTCTCTCTCTCTCTCTCTCTCTCTCTCTCT